TTGGGAGCCAAATTAAATTTCAGCTTCCTCTAGGATTGGGGGGAGGGTGCTGAAAATTTCAGAAGGGAGCTCTGATGCAGCTGCAGACCAATTTTCCGGTTGTTTGGGTCTGTTTCTTGTCTACTCGGCTACTCAAACAATTGTTTTGTTTTTAAAAAGCATTCTTACTACAGACCAGTAGGGACCCCAGTACTCATGAAATAATGAAATGTATTCTTAAAGCAGAAACTTGACACCTGTGAAGATTTGGCAGGCTTTCTGGGAGTGTTTTTTGGAATCAACTTTTTTTTTATGCCTCATTTACTGTTTGCTTTTTTATTATTTTTACCCTTACTGTACAGTTTCTGCAGTTTCTGTCTTGTTATACCCTGTTTCCATGTACTGTTGTCAGTTTTCTCCCTTTGACACATTTCTGTAAAGAAAGAGAGCATAAAAATGAATAGCTTCCTCAAAGCCATTAAAGTTGATCAGTCAGATAGTAGTAGGCTTCAACACTTTCTTTAAATTTGAAACATTAAAGTCCAGTTTTTCATCACCACCTCTCAACCCCAGTAGCTATCTTCCAGTCTCTATTTGAAAACAGTCTTTTTACTGCAGAAGGAAAAGTAATGTGCCTTTTAAAACTAAAAACAATTTAAGTTATTGTTCTGCAGCAACACAAAACTGGATAAGAGATCAGTCTTCAACAATTTTGGGATTTCAGTAGCATAATTCCAAAGAGTGTCCAGAATAAGTGCTGAATTATGTTCAAGTACTAGAAGTATGTGTGAGATATGGGAATCCAAAATCTGAAGAGAGAAAACATTTTAAAAACAATTTTGATGGGAAATAACCCACTGCCAACTATAAATGCTGATATTGAATGTGAAATACTCCATTGAAGGTAAATTACAGATTCCTGCAGGCAATTTCTTTTTTGAGACAAAGGCGGGTAGCCCATTCGTTTGTGTTAGTGATGACAGAAAAAACCACAGGCAAATTGTTTCCTACCAGATGTTCATTGGATGAAATTCTGACGCATTCACAATTAGATTTCTTTACTTAAAAAAAAAACACTCAAGCAATTTGATACAACATATTGTACATAACTATGAGCTAGTTGCCATTCTTCACCTGAGGTGGCATCTTTGTTTCTATAAAAAGCCCAGTTTCCTAACCACTCCCTATAAATCTAAAATAAGAGTATCTGCCTCAGAATTAATATAATGTGCACACTTAAAGTTAATTACACTTCCAGAGACAGTGAAGGCCACCCCCATATCTGGTTTTAGAGGAAGATGAGTTGCTATTGTAGTTAGTCTATTATAGGATTCCCATATGTTGGGTGAGTCCTCAAATAGCTCTTTAAATGGAGTTTCAGTCTCTTTGCACTGACACCAAGTAGTTTAACAGGGCCAAGAAGATGATCCCTTGCAGAGAAGCACTTGGGGGCTTTGTTTTGATTTTTCTCCTCAACTTCCATCGGTGTAATCTTTTTAGTGTTTTGTTTAATGATTTGTAGCTGACAGCAGATGCTCAGAAAACATGGTATGGACGGTATGATTTCCTGGACAGAGAGATTAGATCGGATTACGGAACAAAACAAATGGGTCTTGTGGAAGAAGTGTTTTGTGGAGGATGACTATGAGAAGATAGGGTATTTCTACACTACAAAGTTAATTAGAACCAACGGACGTTAGTTCGAATTAACTTTGATAGGCGCTACACTAGCGCTCTGCTAGTTTGAACTTAATTCAAACTAGCGGAGCGCTTAGTTCGAACTAGGTAAACCTCATTGTACGAGGACTAAGCCTAGTTTGAACTTACTAGTTCGAATTAAGAGGTGTGTAGCCCCTTAATTCGAACTAGTGGGAGGCTAGCCCTCCCCAGCTTTCCCTGGTGGCCACTCTGGCCAACACCAGGGAAACTCGTCTGCCCCCCTCCCGGCCCTGGCTCCCTTAAAGGGGCACGGGCTGGCTACGATGCCCGTGCCAGGTGCAAGCCTGCCAGCACCCAGCTA